CAGCTCAGTATGCTCTGGGTTTTGCTTTATTTTTTCCCCCTATAGTAACTTAGGGGCAATTAAGATCAGCTGGTTTCTGCTTCCAGATTTGAACCCAAAGGAAGCCAGATGTTTTCCACTCGGCATCCCCTTCTCCTTCTGGTCTATTGAACAGCCCTGTTTTCTGTGTCTCTCTATGGCTTGGCTTGCAGCCTTTATTTTTAATGGGGTTTTAATACGTGCCTCCTGTAATCAATTTCATTCTAGTGTTTTCACGCTTTCTGTCTAGGTGCCCAGAGGCCCCTAGGCACTAGGTAGGATGTTAACTGATTTAAAATAATACAAAACACTATGGCTGTCATTAGACATTACCCCAGCTCCTCTCATTTGCAGTTGTTTAACAACCATTAATTAGCTGGGGAGCATGGCTCATTTGGGAGGTCAGCCCAGCCACCTGTCATGTTTCATAGAGGTAGAAACAGAGACATAGAGAAAAGGGACTCGTCCAAGCCCCAACAAAGAGTGGGTGTTGAAACTGGTTTCAGAAACCATATCCTGCCGGGTACACACCCTGCGAGCGCCAAGGCAAGGATCCACTACCCAGGTTTGATTCGCGGTGCGTCTTGTGTGCCCACAGGTAGTTTCGCCCTCCCACTAGGACCGCGGAGCAAGTCAGCCCTCAGCAGCTAATACTACCGCCCGAAATCACCCCCCATTCATTCTCTTCAGGCCCCTTTTCCCATTTTATGAGCGGATTTATCTGCATAAAGAACGCGGCAGTGACTTCTCTCGGATTTAGAAACAATCTAATTTCGCTATTTTTAAAGCTGGCGTTTAAAAATCCGCGCACAAGTACTCCCGAGGGAGTGCGGGGTGGTTGTAGAGGGTGGGAACGAAGAGTACGCGCTGCAGAGAGAGCCGCGTGGCCCTTGGCCTCCCAGAGCGCCGCGCCGCCCCCTGGGGGCGCACTCCTCGCGGCGCGCAGGGGGCTCTCCAACCTCGAGAGAATTTGCGCCATCTGGACCCTCGGAGCGCCCTGTGCGTCGGACTCAGCCGACCCGCGCCCCCTCTCGCCTCCCAGGCGGAGGGCAAGACCGCCAGGTCGCCCGCCCCGGGAGGCAACAGGAGGGGCGGGAAGACCGAGCAGGTGGCGATTAGGTCAGCCTCGGAACATTCTTGGACCGCTCCAGTGGATATAAATAACAGACCGGCAGGCTCCGAAAAATCCCCTGGGCGGGGGTAAGAGGGTGAATGAGAAGGGATTTATTAAGGGTGGGGTGGGATCGTGGTGATCTGGAAAAATCTCCTAAAGCTGGTGACTGACACAGGGGGTGGAGGGGCGAAGGGATTTAAGAATGAATCGTGGTACAAAATCTGGGAATAAGAACACGGAGGGCTGGAGCTCATGGCTTTTGCCCCACCCCCACCACACGTCTGACCGAATCCTCAGAACGCGCCCCCAGATTTGCAGGCAGGACTCGGCAGGGAAAGGGCACGGGCTTTGGAGTCTCGGTCCTGCCCGGCTACAGGTCTTGTCCAAGCTGCTGAAGATGTCTGAGCCTCAGTTTCCGCATCTGTACAATGGGAATCTTAATGTTTACAAGGGGGTGGTTGTGAGCCTCGCGGGAGCTAACTTCTAAGAAAGCTGTGCTCAGCAAAAACATGTAAGGCGGTGTAGCCCCTAAACTGCCCTCCAAGGGGTGCCCGTGCAGGCCCGATCCCTTCCCGCTTCCACCGGTCTCCCAGGCTCTGCAAAGGCCGGGGAGGAGCAAAGCCGGCATCTGACGCCTTATAGCGGCGCGGCGCCACCCTAGGGAGTCGGCTCTGGCGCTTCTCAGGCGGGAGCCGAGACCCCACGGCCCGCGCCCCGGGAGCCGCCGCGAGGCGCGATGCCTGCAGCCCCTGCGCCCCTGCCGCTGGC